TGTTTCCTCCCTTGCCATTGTCCTGCTTCCCCAGTGTACCCCAAATTTACCAACACACCAGGAGAAAGGGAGATGATTTTTCTCCCCCCTCTCCACCACGAAGGAGTCCATAAAGAGTCGACCCCTTATGATGGGGAGCAGATCAGGCTGCTTATAGGTAGCCGTTGCATTTATTTTTTTCTTTCTTTCACTCCCTCCCACGAAGCTAAATGTGAGTTTCCAGCAGACCATCGGGCCCAGAGACCTTTTATGTTTGGCCGTTTTCACGTGAGGCCCTGGTAGTTCCACTCATGAGAAGCAAGCCCGCTAAAGACACCCCTGGATCATGGCCAAAGGCTTTGAGGCACCCAATTCCCGGAGGCCATTGTGGGATGCTTCAGAATGCAAGTGGCAGCAAGTAGCGGCCTGTGTCCTTTTACGCTCGGCACAAATCTTTCCAGAGCTGCAGATGTCTACAATCAAGCAATGTCCATGCAGAAATTTCTTTCTTTCTTTCTTTAAAAAATCATTCTGAACGGCAAATGATTAAATCCTCCCAAGCAGCTCTCCCACAAAGCATGCAAGGGAGAGGGAAAAAAATGTGCCGTACATTTTGCAATTATTTCTTGCCTTCTGCTCCTGATGGTTGTTGTTGAATTCCTCCAGAGCTCTGGAGGCATATGCATATATATATACAATATATTTAACCTCCCCACCCACCTGCCCTGCACCTCCCCTTTCTACAGACACACAATCCGGGCTACACTTCATACGCTACAATTTCTACTACAGCTACACTCGGAAATACACCACGGGATCCATTACACAGACTTTATAATCAAAAGCATTCAGGCACAAGCCGTAGAGAACAAGTCACGCACGATACACTACGATTTTTGTTTGCATGTTCTGCGTTCAATTCACGCGTCAAGTTAATAACATCGCCTACTCATTGATCATATAGCTTCTCCCCTAGATCGTTTTAAGATATGTTTTCCTAAGCAATTCCTTCTGCTTACTCCTCAGCTATTTCCAAAATGAGCATTTATAACCCTGAAAAATCTCATGCGCTAGGGAAAATCTGATTTTTTTTAAAAGGGCTTTTTTTTGGGGGGGGGCTGTTTTCTCAAACATCTCCATAGCAACCAGATCGCTACAGGGTTCACTTTCAGACTGTCCTCAGTCACCTTCCTGTTGGTTTCTGTTTTGTTGGATTTAGTCCTGTCTCTCTTGTCCTTGAAAACTAATTGGCAATTTGGGGCCAAATCACAATTAAACAGAATGCCGGGCTTCTCTTCCTTTTAGCCAGTTTTGACAGTTTCTCGTTTGTTTGCTTTTTAATTACTTGAGGGTGGCCACTGTACTTCTTGGGGGGGGGGAGTAAAAAAGAAAAATTAGAAACCAAACTTTTTGTGTCTGGTTTTGTAACACTCCAAATATTGGGGGGGATTTCTGGCATCCACCTAAATTGCTCTGACGGAACCCATTTCAGTAGAGCATTTCTCTAAACTCCTGATTATGTTGACTGCTCAGGTCAGAGAACAGCGATTTAATATGTCATCAAAGATAGGGGTAAGAAGGCCAAAGAGGGAGAAACCTGTCTCAGTAATACTACAAGGATCTTGGAATTGTTCTAGATCAAAAAAGCTGAATATGAGCCAACAGTGTGGTGCAGCTGCAAAAAAGGCCAATGTCATTTGAGGATGCATTAACAGAAGTAGAGTCTCCAGATCCCACGAGGTACTAGTCCCCCTCTATTCAGAACTGGTTAGGCTCTCATCTAGAGTCCTGTGTCCAGTTCCGGACAGTGAACTTTAAGAAGGATGACAATAGAATGGAGCAAATTCAGAGGAAGGCAACAAGGATGATCTGCAGACTAGAAACCAAGCCCTAGGAGGAGGAAAGGCAGAAAGAACTGGGCCTGTTTAGCCTTGAGAAAAGAATGCTGAGGGGAGATAGGATAGTGCTTTTCAATACCTGAAAAGTACTCATAAAGAGGAGCAGGATCTGCTAGTCTGTTCCGCATTAACTGTTCAAACAGTATGACAATGGAATCCATGATCTTTGGAGGTTGTAATGCTGAAAAGTACTCATAAAGAGGAGCAGGATGTTAGTTTGTTCCGCATTGTTCAAACATATGACAATGGAACCCATGATCTTTGGAGGCGGTAACTGCTCCGATGCTAGAGGCCTTCAAGAGAAAACTGGGGCATTATCTGTCGGGTCTGCTTTGATCAGAATTCCTGCAATTGAGCAAAAGGGGTTGGATTCGCTGGCCTTAGAAGCCCCTTCCAACTCCATTGTTCTATGATTCTGTGAAAATATGGGAATGTTAAGAGATCCATACTCTAGTTGCATAGATGCACATTTAGAAATATGATCAGGTTGGCCGAGACATTTTGGGATAAACAAGTATTATCTCAAGCTCTCATGATAGGGTGAAAGAGCGACCAGTTGACCTGTGGGATGATGGGCAACCCTTGCTCTCCTCCCCCGCTTTTTTGTTCCCTTATCCTTAAACTGGATTTAAACTGGATAGCTCTTCACAGAAGGAAAGAGAGGATCTCAATGGAATCAATTACCTAAAGAGGTGGCGAGCGCTCCAACGCTGGAGACATTCGAGAGAGACTTAAGAAAACCACCTGGCAGATCTCCTTTGGTTTCTATTCCCGCCTTGAGCAGGGGGTTGGACTGGATGGCCTCACTGGCCCCTTCCCACTCTATGATTCTATGATTCTACGAAATGTAACTGATTATAGTAAATACGATCTGAGCTTTTGGGAATGCGTGCAGCTCACCTCTGTCGCGGGCAGAGTCTCCCAAGCCTGTACAGTCAATGTAATTTAGATTGATCACAGAAATCCATGGCTGAGTTTTGATTCGAAAAGCAGAGTTCCCCATGTTGTGGCCTACGTTTTAATAGCTTTGCTCTGATCTTTCAAGCAATACAGACTCAAAGGCTAAAAATATATATATATATTTAAGAGTGTTGGGTAAAACGTCTGAATTTTAAAAAGAAAACCTGCAACAGAGTGCAGTTTTCCAGAGATTAAAAGAATCTGCCTTCCGATGATGGCGCGACAATGTTCCACCTTCTTCACACGCCATTGCGCACTGTCGGCTGGCAATGATGCCGCAGGGCAATGTGGAACATCGGTTGTTCTAAAGAGGGACATGGGATGGGGCTAGAATCGGTTGCTGGGGAGGTGGTGGCCCCTGTTTGTTCATTTGTACTAATTTCATCCGCACCACGGCATCTCCGTGGGCTCTCCAAGTGAGGGCTCAGAGGAAGATCTTGGATTAATCCTCAAAACCACCTTTAGCAAATTGGTGGATCCGGCACATTAGAAAAACCTATTTATGGTCCACTATTAGAGACGGGCACGAACCGATTCGTTCCTATTCATCCCAGTTCGTCAAGGTGGCAACACAAGGCGCTGCTGCTCTCCTCCCCTGCCTCCTCAGGCAATCAGCCCCTCACCAGGCCCAGCTTGCTTGCTTTTCCCACCTCCTCGGCTAATCTCCCAGTCACGAGCAAGAGCACAGATTTCTCTGCTCCGCCCTTTCATCTGAGTGGGCGATCAGCCAAGGGGGCGGGGCAGAGAAGCCTGGGCTCTTGCCTGTGACTGGGAGATCAGTTGAGGAGGTGCAGGAAGCTAGGATGCTGGGCATGGCAAGGGGATGACTGACCCAGGGAGGGGAGCAGCAGCATCTATGCTGCCACCTTTGCAAACTGGGACAAACTGGGACTCTTGCCTGTGACTGGGAGATCAGTTGAGGAGGTGCAGGAAGCTGGCACACTGGATATGATTGAGCCAGAGGAGGCATTGGGAGGAGAGCAGCAGCATCTCTGCTGCCACCTTTACAAACTGGGACAAACTGGGGTGAACTGGTTCATGCCCATCTCCACCCATTATTTAAGCATAATTATGGAAATATCCCATGATTTATACTTTAAAGAAAAAGTCTCAGGTGCTATGACTACGCCTTCTTTGCTTTCCCCCTTTTCTCAGTGGCACCGAAATCTTTCATTAGACCACTTAAAAGGTGACCTTTGCCAGTCTGGCACCCTGCAGATGTATGGGGCTACTAGAAATCCTATCATCCTCAGGGTACCGGGTTGGGAAAGGTTAAAGATAAGGCATAAGGAAGCAACAGACTGTTTTTAAGGGAATTGGAACTGGTTTCAAGAGAGATTTGCTCTGGATTACGGTTCCTTTTGATTCTTTGATGTTTACAGCCCAACAGGTTTCGCAGGTTTAGGAAACCAAAAAGCCAAGTCAACCTGTTTGCTATAGGTCCGGGATGGGGAACACTGCAGATGTTTCTGTGCCGCCTTTCTCGTCACCTGTCACCACTGCCTGTGCTGGTAAAGGATGATGGGAAATGCAATGAACGGCTGGGGAATCACCCATTCGTTATTCTCTCTGATCTACAATTGATTTTGCCCTTTGAAAATGATATACTTCAACATCTAGACTCGCGGTTCCCAACTTGCATAACCCATATGTTCGTGGACTACAACTCCCATAAATCCTGGCCAGCACAGCTAGTGGTGAAAGCTTCTGGGAATTTTAGTCCAAAAACACCAGGGTTACTCCAGGTTGGGAACCCCTGCTTTAGGGACGCTGGAGACTCAATATAAGAGCTGTTTTTTTGGGAGGGGGGGGAAGAGGAACTATTTTGGGGCTGGCTGGAGATCATGGGCATTGTAGTCCAAACCTTAACTTCCTCAAACCTGACAAATCCTTCTCCTTCCTCGCCCTAGATCGGGTGCGTGCTCTTCCCTGCTGTGCACTGTCTTCCTACTATCTTTCCCCACCCAGAAAGGAGGCCTTTTAATCCTTCTTGGAAATCAAAGGTCAAGCTTCTATATGCCATCCCGACACAAGCCGATTAGAAGCCTCTAATGAATGTTGCGGCCTTTATTTAAAGAAAGAAAGAAAGAAGAAACCAAAAAAAGGAAAAGGAAACGGGAGAGGGGTTGGAGAGAAAGAGCAAGGAAATGCAAGAAAATTTACTCTTTTGCCTCGGCCAGTTTATTGTTCATATCTTTGCTTTTCTCCTTCTCCTCGGCGATGACGACGACGCTGGTTCCCCCAGGGCTCTCGGCCGTCTTCTTCTTGGCCGACCGGCTGGATGCCATCTGCTTATCTTTGGCCTTTTTCAGCGGTTTATGGCTTGCGGTCGTCTTTTTTGGTTTAGAAGGCTGGGGGCTCGGCTTCTCCACCTGGGCGGGCGCCACCGAGACAAGCCACCGAGACAAAAGAGAAAGAAGCACAAACATACACATACACACACACACACACACACACACAAGGAGAGGTGTGGAAAAAAGGGGCATTTAGAAAAGTACGGCCAAGTGAGGTGTGTGTGTGTGTGTGTGTGTGTGTGTGTGTGTGTGTGTGTGAGGAAACAGGGAACTTGGGTTAAAATGCTTCCCTCTAGACCTGCAGTTCCCCACCCTGGGTCTCCAGATGTTTCCCGGGCTGCAGCTTCCAGAAATCCTGGTCAGCACAGCTGGTTGAGGAAGGCTTCTGGGAGTTGTAGTCCAAGAACATCTCTGGACCGAAGAAACCAGCGCTGTACACACATTTTGCTCGTTATTTGCTGAGGATGCTGAGGATCGCTCTGTCATAGGTGAAGCGGGCCGTGTGGCTGTAGTGAGCTGGGGATTCTGGAAACTGTAGTCTCCCCAAAACAAAATGTCTCTAAGCTCTGGACATCGAGGGAATTCTGACTGCCTGCTTTCATTTATGACTTTAATTATAATTTCATGGCTGACTTTCTAATACTTCAGTATTTTGACGTTCTAATAGGGCAATCAATCATCTTATTGCCCAGTTTATTTTACTAAATGTTTTGGTTTATTTATAACTCGAAGGGACTCCAAGAATGTTTTCCACTGAGGAAGGATGCACATTTAGTAAATTACTATTGGTGTTTCTGCTACTCCTTCTCAAAGCTCAAAAAGTTACTTTTTTTGGACTACAACGCCCGGCGATTACTGGTGATGTCAGCTAGTAGATTTTGAGAGCTGTAGTGCAAAAAGTAACTCTTCCATATTCTGCAGCTTCTATTACTAAACAATAATTTCAGTGCATAACTTTTTCCAGTTTATTATCTCAGGTTTGTGTTTGCATTTCCCCCATATATGCTGAAGAGCTCCCAGCTTGATATTGGGGTGTGCAATGTATAATAATGTCTCAGCTCAGTTTTGAGAGTTTCCAGGTAGGACAAGCAGTAGAGATTCACCAAAACAACAACAACAAAAAACCCATAGCAAAGCCCCCACCCTGGGAGATATGCTGCCGGTTTGAGTAGAGCTGAAAGCAGGGGTGGATTGGATTTAAAGGAAATCTCAAATTTTTTTAGAATCAGATTTTTTTTGATAATTTAAATTAAACATTTTTTTAAAAAATGTAATTTATTTTTTTAATTTAAATTTAGATTTTTTTAAAAATTAAAATTTTAAAAAAAATTTAAACCAATGTTTTAAAAAATCATCGATTTTTTTTAATCCATCCTGACTGGAAGCTTCTCTCTGCATTTCAGACAGCATCATGCTATGAAATCAGCCCACCTCACTCTGTGATTTATTAGCGGGTGGGGGGGGGATTGTTTGGCACTGTCCTCTACGTGATGATAGTGCTGGTGGGAACTTTGGCCCTGGATTCTACTTTACAAAACTGAAGCATCTGAAGATGTTGGGAACCACAGATGAGGTGGGACAATAATGTATTTTTGGGCTACAATGGGATATTCTGTTGCTAAAAGCAGTCACATTTCTCAGTTTGCTGTTTGATCCCTTCAACTGTAAGTAAATGGAATGCAAAGCAGTCACATTTCTCAGTTTGCTGTTTCATCCCTTCAACTGTAAGTAAATGGAATGGAATGGAATCGGGGAATATTCAGGGCAAGAAATTGTCCATGAATATCTATAATTCATAGTGAGTTCTACACTTGCAGAGATGATGTGACAATTTCCCCCTAGAGACAGAACGCTGTTTCTCTCCACTGCCACATTTCCTACTTCTCCTTTTAATTTGTCGCTGTGCGATTAAACTGTGGCTCTAGAACAAAAAGTGCGGACGCTTTGTTCTGAAGCTGAACCGGAAGCAATTACAATTCGGTTTCAGAACAAGGTGGCCTAAGGGGAGCGAAAGACACCTTTTAACGGCTCGGCCATCACCTTTGTGAGCGATCGGCTATGAATATCTTCCACACTAACTCCTTCAAAACAAGAGGGGATCAAGGAAGCGGGGGGGGGACACCTCCCTCCCTCGTTTTAATCAAGAGAGAACACGCCAAAGACCAATTTGGGGCCACCCACCTTCCCATCTCCGCTTACCCTTGACGCTTCCTTGCAGGGTTCGCTGTAGAGCGTGCGTATCCTTCGGTGCTCCAGGAATTTGTTGTCGGCCAGAGCGGGCTTCGCGCTTTCGGCAGTGAACTGGGTGCTGTAGCTCGTTCGGTGGTTCATTTTCTCCTCCGGAGGCTTGTACTGGGGCTTGGATCTGACAGGCTTCACCATTTTGACGTCCTTCCATGGCGGGAATTCGTTTCTGGTGGGAGGAAAGGGGAGGGACTGGGTGAGAATAAAAGGTTAAAGGTTCCCCTTGACATTGAGTCCAGTCGTGTCTGACTCTAGGGCATGGTGCTCATCCCCGTCTCCAAGCTTTAGAGCCAGTGTTTTGTCCAGTTTCCGTGGTCATGTAGCCAGCATGATTAGACACAGAATGGTGGTCCCTATTTATCTGCTTGCATTTATATGCTTTCAAACGGCTCGGTTGGCAGGACCTGGGACGAGCGTTGGGAGCTCCCTCCGTGGCGTGGATTCGCTCTTACGACTGCTGGTCTTCTGACCTTGCAGCACAGAGGCTTCCGAGGTTTAACCCACAGCGCCAACCACGTCCCACTTAGGGATGTGGGTAAGAATGGGAAATGCCAAAGAGGGAGTCCAGGATGACATCAACGAGAAACACGGCCTTCTCCGCCGTGGCCCCGTCCCTTCAGAATAGGTTCCCCTTGGAGCTGCCCTTGGCCCCGTTTCAAAACATACTGGTTTCCTGAAGTTTTTGAGAACATCCTCTTTTAACCCAGTACGAATAGACCATTTTTAAGTTGCCTACTTGCCATCGGTTTGTTTTTGATGTATTGGGCAGGAATTCATTTGCTTCCTGATCTATGCCCCTCCCCCCGCTTTTCATATTTAGTCTACTTATTTAAGATTTATTTATTCTGTTATTTATATTGGATGTAAACCAGCCAGCACAGTATTTACTAGATATGTAAAATTTCCGAATATTTCCACTTTTTCTGGTGGGAGGGGGAAGGGGGGGAAGGACAGAGGCTCTGGGAAGCCCCACATAGGGCTAGGAATGCCTCTTGCTAAAAAGCAAAATAAAAGGGCTCAAAAGCAAAGTGTCCTGCTTATACATCGGCCCATAGCACTTAAATCACTCTGTGGTCGGTGCACAGTTTAATTATGTAGGCCACATATTCTTCCCCCGGGTCCTCCATTTACCAACCTCAGAAGGATGGAAGGCTGAGTGAACCTCGAGCTGGCTACCTTGAATTGAACCCAGGTCGTGAATAGAGTTTTGGCTGCAGGACTGCAATTTAACCAGTGTGTCAGGAGGCAGTGGCATTTGCAGGACTGATGTTCAGAAACATCCGGTGCCCGCTGGTCTCCAGTGAAGCTGCCAGATCAATTATCGGATTCTTTTTGGACTGCCACATAATTATGCATCTGGGTTTTTCTTCATCATTGCCTTTTAATGAGTAAGCAAACAAAAGTACTGGCAGCTGACCAGTAAGGGACCAGTAAGTGAGAGCTGGACCATAAAGAAGGCTGACTGCCAAAGAATTGGTGCTTTCGGACTGTGGTGCTGGAGGAGGCTCTTGAGAGTCCCCTGGACTGCAAAGAGAACAAACCTCTCCGTTCTGAAGGAAATCAACCCTGAGTGCTCACTGGAAGGACAGATCCTGAAGCTGAGGCTCCAATACTTTGGCCATCTCATGAGAAGAGAAGACTCCCTGGAAAAGACCCTGATGTTGGGAAAGAGTGAGGGCAAGAGGAGAAGGGGACGACAGAGGACGAGATGGATGGACAGGGTCACCGGAGCGACCAACATGAATTTGACCCAACTCTGGGAGGCAGCAGAAGACAGGAGGGCCTGGCATGATCTGGTCCCTGAGTTGACACGAATCAATGACTAAACAACAACAAAGATTTGGGAGCAAAGGACTGGCATTGCTTCTGCACCAGCTGAGTGTGGAAATGGGCACAAGGGCAACCTGGATAGTCATAGCAACCGTTGCAGTGATGACAGATGGGCCTCCAAGTTGATTCTGACTTCTGGTGTCCCTTCCCAGGGTTTTCTAGAGAGAAAGTCCTCAGAACGGGGTGACCAGCGCCCACCTTCTGGTGGTGCTCTGGAACGAACACACAGCTTGCCCAAGGCTACACAGGCTGGTTTTACTCTAGGAAGTCATAGCATTGAATCAAACTTTGAAACCCTGGCTCGGCAGTTAGCTGCACCAACCCACGGAGTTATGTGCAAAGAACTCCTTTTAGCTGCAAGGCAGTTCCTGACTTCAGGCCAGCTGGAAAGACCTCCCCCCCCTAATCTGGCCTCTTAGTAATGTTTGGTAGCTGATTTGCAATTTTTAAAGTGCAAAGACGAGCTAGGAATATTAACAATTACTATTACATGATTCTATGATTCTGCTATTTTAAAAAAAGAACAATAACAGCAGTATGACTGACCCAGTCTATAAGCCAAGAAGTAGAGGTCACTTAGTTCTTCATATAGTGGCATTATTTGTTAATGGCTTTTATACCCCAGCTTTCTACCAAGCCATGCAATTTAAAATAGAAGTGAAAACAAAATCTAGATGAAAATGTAACATAAACAATAGCAGGGTGGATAAAAAAACAAGGATTCCCCCCCACACAAAAGTCAAGTTGGTTTGAATCACAATTTAAATTTTTTAAAAATGATTTTTTAAAATTTAAATTGCTAACAAGTCAGATTTTCTTTTTGTTTAAATCAAACCCACCCTGATTGCCAGTAAACTAAAAATATAATTTAGAAAAATGGCAATAAATTAGCACCCAACCAGCTCTACTTCCCCTTCAACAAAATCAGCTACCATGCCCAAAGCATGCTTAATTAAAAAGTACAGTAGTATTCCGGTAGAAAATGCATTCAAATAACCTGGTACTTCATTATAGGAAGGAAGGAAGGAAGGAAGGAAGGAAGGAAGGAGCTGATGATGAATAGAAGGAAGAAAGGAAGAAAAAGAAAAAGGAAGGAAGAAAGAAAGAGGAAGGAAGGAAGGAAGATCCATCCATACTGATCAATCCACTTTTCCGTCTATGTAAGTGAAGGCAAGTGGGGGGCACCAAACACTGTACCCTTCCCTAGGGACAGAAACGCACCCTTTAATTTTAAAACCTAGCAGGCCATTAATATTCCACACACTCCCTTGACAAGCAGCAAACAGCTTGTTAGCGGCCAACGAATGAACACCGCTCTTGAAACGCCGCGAACAGCAGGGGTGCAGCTAATTGGTAAATTACAGCTGAACGGGAATGGACTCGGGTTGCGTTCATGAAGCAGATGCCCGCGTCTCAAAACTAGGGAGGGAGATTCGCAAGGAACAACCGGGTTCCCCTCCTGGGATTCGCGTCCCAAGGCACAATAGGCTGTTTCAAACAAGGAGTTGGCAGTCTCTGCTCCCGCGATAGCTATTTTCGTGAATTCTATTTCTAATGTTTGGCCTCTTGAGTAGAATATACTTTCCTTTTTGGGAAATTTTGTTTTTCCTTTGTTGTTGTTGTTGTTGTTGTTGTTGTTTTTGGAAGAGAGACTTCATCCCCCAGAATCCCTGTGTCTGTGCGGCTGCTGAAATTCTTGCGGCTCATATAGTTGGAGTTAGGGCATACACTATTTATTGATTGATTTGATTTTTATACCTCCCATCTGGCTACTAAGGCCACTCTGTGTGGTTTACAAATGTAATGCATTTATACTAGAGATGGGCACGAACCGGTTCGTCCCAGTTTGTAAAGGCGGCACCACAGGTGCTGCTGCTCCCCTCCCGCTGCCTCCTCCAGCTCAACCATCCCCTCGCCAGGCCCAGCATCCTAGCTTCCTACACCTCTTAAAATGATCCTCCAATCCTGGCAGCAGCTCAGGCTTCTCTGCCCCGCCCCCTTGGCTGATCGCCCACTCAGACGAAAGGGCGGGGCAGAGAATCCTGGGCTCTTGCTCGTGACTGGGAGATTAGCTGAGGAGGCAGGGAAAACAATACCTAAAATCTTGGGCCACTCCCTCCTGCTGCTTCCTTATTGCTTTTTACCATCCCCTAGCAAATGACTGATGGGGGTGGTGACAGCAGCCATGAAATTAAAAGACGCCTGCTTCTTGGGAGGAAAGCGATGACAAACGTAGACAGCATCTTAAAAAGCAGAGACATCACCTTGCCGACAAAAGTCCAAATAGTCAAAGCTATGGTTTTTCCTGTAGTGTTGTATGGATGTGAGAGCTGGACCATAAAGAAGGCTGACCGCTGAAGAATCGATGCTTTTGAATTGTGGTGCTGGAGGAGACTCTTGAGAGTCCCCTGGACTGCAGAGAGAAGAAACCTATGCATTCTGAAGGAAATCAACACTGGAATGGTAACTGGAAGGACAGATCCTGAAGCTGAGGCTCCAATACTTTGGCCATCTCATGAGAAGAGAAGACTCCCTGGAAAAGACGCTGATGTTGGGAAAGAGTGAAGGCAAGAGGACAGAGGACGAGATGGCTGGACAGGGTCATCGAAACAACCAACATGAATCTGACCCAACTCCGGAAAGCAGTGGAAGACAGGAGGGCCAGGCATGCTCTGGTCCATAGGGTCACGAAGAGTCGGACACGACTTCACGACTAAACAACAACAACAGATGACTGGATCACCATCTCAGAGTTGCCACAGTTAGAAACGGCATAGCCATTATTATATTAACTGGTTCCTTGCAAACAGCCAGAACCAATTCGGTGGCCTTAGTGCTTTAAAAAGTCCATTTAAAAATTATTATTATAACCTTTTGAACACCCCAGTGGGAGAACGCTGGTTGGGCAGGGCTCATCGCTCTCCAAAAGCTCCGGTTTGGCCATGAATGGAAATCACTGAGACTTTCTGGGCCTTCAATTTGAATGAAAAAGATAATTCTTGATGGATTTAATCCTACGCCAACGGCGGTTCAACCCCCCACTTTCCCTACAGGGTCCCAATTATCCTGCCGGTTTTTCTGGGTCTGCTGCAAAGATGAGAGAAAGCAGCACAGTCAACCAGGGACTAAGAAATGGAGTTAAGTACATTTTCATTAAAAGCCTCATCGGCAAAGACAAAAGGCATATGAATAATGTAACAAGGAAGCACGAGCCGCTAGGAAGAATAATAATAATAAAAAGAGCCACGCAGAGTCGTACAGTGGATGCAGGACTGATAACTGAGTTGTTTCATGTCCTGTAGAAAATAAAGGTCGTCAAGCTGGTTGTAAGCAAAGAAA